GGCTACGGGAGAGTTTATGTTTTCTTTTTCTTTTTTAATTTTAAAATGCCAATTATGTCCCAAATTTGTTAGTGGGTATGATTTGAATGTGTATGTGGAGTGTTTTGTTTTTATTTAGGTGTGGAAATCTAAAAATGTGCTTTCATGTTACTCTTTTTTGTTTTGGTACAACCCTTGTATGGTATGTTTGGATGTTATAACTTTGAATATGCATGTAATGATGTGTTATGTATAAGGCTTTGATTATGATCAAAATGTACAGATGGATGATTTTTCTGAAAATCGTGAGTGGATGTATAAAAGACTATGTGATGATGGGTTCATTAACACGTCATGGGTTGAGAATGTGAAAAGATTTAATGAACACTGTCAGTCCAATCCAAAGGTTGATAGAATAAAAGAAGACATGCGTTGTCCGTGTAGAATTTGCAAAAATAGGTTTTATAAATCTCTTGATGCAAAAAATCGTGTTTTCAGTACAGGTTCAGCTGCGCGTAAAATTCCAAAGAATACTCTGAGACAGGGCAGACGAGCCAGCACGAGCGGTATCTCCGACATGGAGAACAATGAAGTTCTTAATTTGCGCAAGGAATTGCTAGAATTCAAAGCAACGGTTGAAGCAAGGGATAAAACGATATTAGAGGAATTAAAAATTCTTCGCGGTCGTCATGGTGATGGTCGATTTGATAATGAAGATGGTGGTGGTACAGGTGGTACGACGGGCTGTGTTTGAACATTATACTTCCCTTATTTATTATTGTTAAGTACCTTATATTTGAGGCATAATACATTTTGTGGATTGGAGACTACTCTGATTATGATCAATATTTGGTTTGTTTGAAAATTCTCAATGTTCATTTCTTGTGTTTTTTTCCGGTTTCTGTCTTTTGTTCTAGTTAGTATATGATTTTTGGCTAATTTTGTAGTTGTATGGTTGCCTGTAGAAACTGATTTCTGCCTGCAGAATCTGGTGATGTTGCGACGGTTTTACGTGTTATACTGGGAGTTGCAAATGCCGTCGCAAATCCACTGCGATGATTTCCATCCGTCGCAATTCTCCGCCGCAAATATGTCTACAAGAACATTTTGAATCTCTTGTAAAGTCCGTCGCAAATCTACGACGGCTAAAGGCCGTCGTAAATATGGTCGCAGAGTTGCGACGGAATGGTCGCACGGCGGTTTGCGGCCAAAAAACTACGACGGAATGAAAGTGGTCGCAAATGCCGTCGCAACTCTTCTTTGCGAGAGAAAAGAAGCCAATTGCGACGGAAATATTCCGTCGCAAAAAGCTGAAATTCTTGTAGTGTTACTAAAAATAATATTCAAAATAATATTGGGATCTAAAAAAACGGTCCGGTCCGAGTTCAATACAATTTCAAAATGGGAAACCGGACCGACCCTAGAATCTATAAGGACCGGACCGACCCGACCCATTTGAAATTTTTGAAAAGAGGATCCGACCCTAACCCGGACCGAACCTAGTGGTCCGGTTCCGACTCCCGGTTCCTGGACCCGATTGCCCACCCCTACTTCTCACCCAGGCACGGTCCGAACATATCCCGCACCCACATTAATTGCTTGCCACAAGATTTAGTTGACTTTGAAATTAAAATTTGACTCTAAAATCAACTAAATCTTGTGGCATGCAGTTGACTTTAAATATTTTGTTTTTTAAAGAAAACTAAGCATATCATTACTACTAGTATCACACCCGTGCGTTGCACAGGTCATTTTTATGTTATTAAATTCAAAATATTTTTCAATGATAAAAATGAAATGCAATAGAATATAAAGATTATGCTATTATAAGTTAAAAAACATCGCTACTTTACAAATTTCGAAAGACTTTTTTATAGACTAGATTATACGCACAATTTGTGGGAATAGTATAATAAAATTTGGTAAGAGTAAAATAATTATTCCTACCATAATTATTTCTTAAACTGTGTGATTTTTTAGATTACACCGTGTTATATTTTTGCCATTAATGGTAGTACATGGTAAATCACACGGTATTAACAAATTGCAATTATGGTAATTCCCAATTTCAGAAATGGTATTTTTAGTTTAATAATATAATGGTTTTAAAGTAATACCGTATAACTTTTTTGTTATTAATGGTAGTACACGGTAAATCACACGATATTAAAAAATTGCAAATTGCAATTATGGTAATCCCCAATTTCACAGATGCTGTCATTTTAGTTTAATATTATACTCTATTTAAAGTAATATCGTGTAACATTTTTTGCCATTAATAGTAGTTCACGGTAATTCAAACAGTATTAACAAATTGCATTTGCAATTATGGTAAGTGGCCGTAAGTCCCATTTGTTAATACCATGTAACATTAATTGACATTTGTTAATGTAATAAAAATTACCATTTGTTAATACTGTGTAATATTAATTGTCATTTGTTAATGACTCAAAAATTACCATTTGTTAATACCGTGTAATGTTAATTGTCATTTGTTAATACCGTGTAACATTAATTGACATTTGTTAATGTAATAAAAATTACCATTTGTTAATACCATGTAATATTAATTCCATTTGTTAAAATTTCTTTTTTTGCAAATCTGGACTTATAATTGTTTAACTTTCTTTTTTAATTATTTCCAATTATATTAATCACGTTTAGTATTATAACTTACCAAAAAAGAAATACTGTGTAATATTAATGGCCAAAAAAAGAAATACTGTGTTATATCAACTTACCATTGCCTTTTTAATTATTTCCAAATTATATTAATCACGTTTAGTATTATTATTATTATTATTTCTTAAAATTTCATATTTTGCGAATCTGAACTTATAATTGTATATCTTTCTTTTTAAATTATTTCCAATTATATTAATCATGTTTAGTATTATAACTTACCAAAAAAGAAATACCGTGTAATTTTATTTGCCAAAAAAGAAATATCATGTAATATTAACTTACCAATTATATTAATCACGTTTAGTATTATAACTTACGAAAGGAACTCTACGGAGTGTACCAAAAAAATACCGTGTAATATGAATTGCCATTAATTGCCTTATTATTTATTATGGTTAGTACCGTGTAATATTAATTGCCATAATTAGGTTGGCGGAGGCCATTTTAACGAAATTATTTAATATTTAATTCATTACCATTTTAAGTGAACAATTGCAATTTTTAATGCAATAACGCATGGGCGGGAAAACCATTTCTTGAATCTATGTCCTTTTTAAATAAAGTATGGATTTGACAAAAAAAGTACAATCCCTAAAAAAAGAGTACAATTAAATATTAAAAATTGCTCCATAGTTTAAATAAAAAAGTGTGTAACTAAAAAACGTTAAAGAGTGTCGTCGTCTGCTCCACCGAACCATTTTTTTACAACTTTGTTTTTCATTTTCATCACCACTATCTACTCTGTTTACGAAAGACTTTGAAGTGGTGTATCATCATCACTCTAAATTCATCGTGTTCTATTCGTTGATGATCCATCTCTAGCCTCATGTTCTTCCTCTTAGCAGCTTCTGTCGTACTATATTTTGCTTCCGTGGCTAGGGGTGTAAAAAATCTGGGTCGGGACCGCAAAACCGGACTGGATCGGACCGGAAAAACCGGTTCCGGGCTAGACCGGTAAAATTCCGGACCGGTCTCCGGTCTAAAGATTTTGGACCGGTAAAATTCCGGTCCAAGACCGGATCGTTTTCGGGTCGGACCGGTAAGACCGGATTGTCTATTTTTTAAAAAAAAAATTAATACCTATAATACGGAGTTTACGTATAATTATAAATACAATTGTATATTTTCATTTGTTCTTCTTACTTTAATATGAAGTATACTTTTTTAAATGTAATTTGTATTTTTGAATTCATTTCATTGACCTTTACTCAAGAATATCCATAATTATAAAAAACTAATTAAAATTATTTCCCAAAAATTAAAGTAGAATCTTTCGATTTAAAGTATTAAATACTTTGACGTATAAATTAGACTTGCTAAAACCAAAGTAATTTAAAGTAAAACTTTATAATATTTTTGAAATTTCAAAACTAATGGAAGTATAAAAATCATTTTACACCTATTATATTGTTGATAAAAATATTTTATATTAATATCATTTCTTGAAACACACCCAATTTGTATAAAAATTAAATGTAGGGTTGAAATTAATTCAAATCAAGCTACAAATTTGAAAAACAAGTTTAAAAAAATAGACAAAAAGAAATAGAAAAAATAAATTCCGGGTTTTCCGGTTTTTACCCGGACCGGGCCGGAAAAAACCGGTCTGGACCGGTCCAGACCGGAATCTAACCGGTCCGGTTTCCGGTCCTATGCTTTAGGGGATTCCAGGTTTTCGGTTTTTCCGGTTCCGGTCCGGTTCTGGACCGGTGCACACCCCTATCCATGGCAGCTTGTTGCTTCAATCGGAATTTCTCCGACTATAATTCATTAAACGAGGTAATGCATTTCAAAATGTCATCAAACCCCCAAGCCCTAGAGGTGGAAGATCACCCTCTTTTCTCAATATCCCTCTCGACGGACCGTTTTGTCCCGGAGGTGGGATATCATTGTTTGAGTTATAAATGTTAAGAAATGATATGAGTTATGTTGTATGGTATCATGACTTGAAACATATTTTGCTAAGTTGTATCTTGCTTGAATGATATCATATAATAAATTGTGAATTGTGAACTCATCTATGTGTATATTCATGCATTAGACATTCTCACTCAGCTTGACTGCTAAGTATGTAGTATGTTTGTGTGCAACACACAGGTAATTAAAATAAGAATGAATCTAGAGAGGATTCCAGAGAGAAACGAGGATGAAAAGATGTTCGAATTCATAATCGATGATTTTGGTTTACTAATTAATTCTAGTTGAACTTGTAATGCTTTTCTGGGCACAAACCCAAGGTTGTGTTTGGAATTTTTAATTTAGCTTTTGTACTATTTTGACATAATTCTGATGATGCTTTTAAACAATATTTGAACCTAAATGATTTTAAATATAAAAAAATATTATATGTAGATACCAATTTGGCATCAATCCAAGTGGGTGACCAATGTATTCGGGTTATGCAATTTGGGGTGTTATAGATCCTCAAACTTGGGAATGAAGAACACTATGCAATAAAAAATGGTCTAGTGTGCGAGTGGCAAGTGAGTGGAGTGGCGTATCATATAGTATCATATAGTGGTTAGTCATTGTTTTTGTCATTTTTTCATTTTTTTTATGTATTTTAATTATTAAATATTATTTTACTCACCCATTATACTTTTCGTTTTTAAAAAAAGGTATTTTTTATAAAAAAAATCAAAAAAAAGAAAAAAAATATAAATTTGGAACCAGTTGCCTCGCACATGACTTGCCACTTGCCAGTCATGGAGGAATGATCAATCCACGCGAGGCATAACCCAATTCAAGGCTAAGGTGGCAAGCGAGACAAAATGTATACCCGCCATTGTTGTTACTCTAATATAGAATATAACATAGACCTTTAAAAATAAAAGAGATAGATTGAACGTGTACCAGATTTTATCGATCCCATTTTTTAATTAACATAACAATGTCAGAGGTTCATAGAAATTGTATGAACCCAAAGTCCAGCTTAAAAACTTTCTTGAATATGTTACAATTATTAAGAAAATCTAGAAAACAACAAACGAATTCAACTAGTGTCCCATTAAAAAGTTTCTACATTTTTGACAAGTTGTGTCTCTTTGAAGAAGTCTTAATTGGTTTCCCAAAGAGACTTTAACATAAAAAGAGTAGAAATGGGAATGAAGCACACTATGCAATTCCATTTTGGCCCTTGGCTTTAGTGTCAAACCCCATTTCCACAGAATGGTCACCGGTGGCTTTCTTGTCTTTTCCTTTGTTATCACGATATATTGTGTACAAGATCAGTTGCACCATTCCCAGCAGTGATCCAACACCATTTGGCACCTGTGTGTTAGTCACATTACAAATGTATAAAACTTGATTAGTGCATCTAATTACCAAGTTTGCCTTCATCTAGTTTAAGAAATATGTTTAATTATTGAAAAGTAAAAAAATATGTGATTGAAATTTTGGTTCTTAAAAGCCTTTTCACATTTGACAAGATTGGTATTATTTAAGGTAAATGTAGATTGTGTGCTATTTTATAATTTTACCGTTGTTTTATGGTAAGATGGAATGTGATGCAATAATGAACAGATTAATAATCATAAATGTGTGTGATGTGATAAGTAGAAATAAATCGGGATTAATATGTGATTTTTATTGAAATATACAGAATTCCTTTTGTGACGGATGGAAAAGAAAAAAAAAAATTATGGCCGAGATGAATGGAGGGTTTCTTAAGCAACCATCAATTTATGTCTATGATTCAATTTAGCATCACGCGACGGTTCTTTTGATATTAGACTTGAATGTTATATACGTTCTTTTTAAATTCGTTACGGAATTTCTTTCACTTGTGAGCGATTCCTATCTCATAATCATCTTCAAATCGGCCATATGTACCCACCCCGGGCCCCCCTAGTGCCTTCCTCTTAATTTACTTCTTTAGGGGACAATCTTCTATTTTTTTAAAAAAACTGTTATTTTAAAATTTTACCCAATATATTGGATTAAATATTTAAAAATAACATTAATGCTAGCTAATTAGTGTTAATTATTAAAGGTAGGTAATAATTAAGGTAATAATCAGTAACTTACCGCAATGAAAGGGTCCTTGCCAAGGAGTCCATAGATGAACCACGAAGTGCCACATAGGAATACAAACAACGACAAGAAGAATGGCATAAACTCCACGCTCTTCGTTTTAATCACCGTCCTCTGCATTTATTCATAAAAATAAAATCTTGAAATTGATTTTAATTAATTAATCATAATTAAAATACTTTAGTCACATTACCACAAAAAAATTATATTTAATAGATTACTTTGTTTAACTCAAATCTTTATAAACTAAAGTTATATAGTAGAAAGATTAATATGTAGGCAACAATTTCTTTTTACAACGCGGTTCTTTTGATAATATACATCAATGTCATAATATGACACTAAGTTATTTTGGAGTTGTTACGATGCTCTGAAGTGGTTTCTATCTCGTAATATGGGGAAAACATCTAAATACGGAGTAAGATAAAAACATAACAAAGAAAAGAGTATCAAACATTCTTGTTTTTATTTGCAAAATAAGACATATAATGCCAATAATGTAAATATAGTGTCAAAACTTAGTAAATTTTTGCAATGCAATGGTCTTAATTTGAAAAATAAAAACGTAAGTTATTTTGAAAAGAAGACATATGCCTTAGTACTAACCGAGTAGATATTATATCGGAAAGATAATATTTGGGTGCCTCAAATTAACTAATGTCATTTACTGTCAAAAAATCACTCTCCTTTTATCAAAAGAAAAAGGAAAAAAAGAAGAAGAAGGTCTCGTTTGGCATCAGCGTTGAAGATTATCGTTAGCATTTTGAAAAAAGATATCTAACGGTAGCTTTTAGCCTTATCATTTTCAAAACCAATCTACATCATTAAAATGTAATGCAAAACGCTATTAGTTATCGAAATGCAAAACGTTATCAATAATCGAAAACGATTTTGCCGTAGTATGTTAGAGTGCATCATATCCCACATCGAAAGTGCAAGAGTAAAATAATTGGTATATAAGTTCTTTAGTTGAACTAATTAATCGATTGGTTCAATCTTTTAATGCGATTCAGCTTATTATCCAATCCAGTTATCTTTATCTCATCCTAAATTCTATCAAAGTATGAAGGGTAAGTAGCTAGGGTGCGTACCATGATCGATAGCGGGGAGCCGTACATGATGATGGAGAAGATGGCGGCGGCGAAGCCACAAAGTAGCTTCCGGGCATTGTGGTGGAGCGCAAGCAGAGACACCAACGCCACGGCGGCGAAAATGGCGAGCACGACCGACAAGAGGCCGGAGATTTTGGCCTTTTCCCTCTTGGGTGCATAGATGAGGAAAACAAGGACATATATCGCCTCCAGCCCAGCGCCGGTGCCGTTTATGATTGACACCAATATGTTGTTGGGGGATATAAACGGAAGTCCGTACCTTTTTTTTTCCCATCATATATGGAAAAGTTGCCCAAAGTTAGTTATGTTATTTGAATTTGATCGTTCCGGCCACAAATATATAAATTAATTTTGACTAATTATTGAGCTCAAATAGTTACTCCCTCCGTCTCTCATAGATCTTCTCAATAGCCCTTTTTCTATGTCCACAATAGATCTTCTCATTTCATTTTTTAACAATTAAAATACCACAACTACCCCCACTTACTTTATTTATTACACCTCACCCACCTCATTTAATACACTCCACCCATTTTTCATTAAGGGTATTATGGTAAACTTTCACCTTTTTTCAACTCTCCTTAAAAATCACCAAAAGTCAAAATGAGAATATCTTAGGGGGACGGAGGGAGTATTTAACTTAGTTTTGATCCAAGCCCAATTAATTCTTGAGCTCAAAGATCAAATTACATTTTAAAGATCAGGCCCAATCATTCAATCCATTTCCAAAGATATTACATTCATTTAATACGGAGTATTACTTTATCCGTCTCCTCTCATAACCATGTTATTACTCTATCTTCTCGACAACTGTTGTTTATTTGCTTCTTTTCATTTGTTCAGTTTTTGTATTTATTTGCATTAGGATCAGATTAAATCAAATGAGAAATATATATATATATATATATATACACACACACACACACACAAAACAAAAACTTGATTAGTACAAATGAAAAAGAATCAGACTAAATATTAATTTATTTAGGTCAAAACCAATCAAATCTTAAGAAGGATACAAAGTTACATGTTGGGAGACGTGTGGTAATGGTTCAATTTCTTTTTCTTTTTTTGATGGAGTATTGGTTCAATTCTGATAGGGACAAAAATGACATTTATTCACTTTTTTTTGACTCCTGTTTTGGATATGCATGTGTAAAGAAACACTAGTAAGCAAAAAACCAAATTTGCCTCTTTCAAAAGAGGAAAAAAAAGCTCTGTAAGCATATGACATTATTTTAAATAACAATTGTGATTCACAGACACATAAAAACAATGCAAAACTAGACAAATTTTGGATCCAATTAAACAAAAATTATAATGTATATTAATTATGAAAATAATTTCATTTGATTTATTGTTGAGAACATTTAAGGTTTAAATTAATTGTGTTTTATGCAATACAAATCGAGAACGATTAACAATTAACATTTATCTAGTTTAACTTGGAAATATCATACGGAAACAGTGGCGGATGTACATTAGAGTAGTTGGGGTCTCATGCCCCCTACTACTTGTTTAAAGTAAAATAAAATTTACACTTATATAGTTTATGACCCTAATAAAAAATATTAGGAACCCCAATTAAAAGTGTTAAATAAGAAAAAATGTGAAATGTGAAAAGTTTTAGTATTAAAAGAATATCATCATAGAGTAAAATATTTAAAAATGTTAAAAATAAAATCTAAAATGAAAGATTAAAATTATATTACTACTTGTATTAAACTACGTAATAATGTAGTCCATAAATTATATTTTGTTAGACTTTTTCAAATACTATTTGAATAATTATGAGAAATTAAATTTATTTTTTACTGTTTTAAATTGCACATATATAAAAAATCTCCCAGGGCACTGCCCCGACCCCGTGTTATTTTGGTGATTGCGCCCCCAACAACTTAGATTTCTAGATCCGCCACTGTACGGAACAACCAATACTCATCTCTACACAATACAAAAGAGTGTTCTAATACTCCGTATTAAAAATTTAAAACTACTAATAATGATAAATAAAAATAATGGACAAGATAGGGACCTCCACTCCAATTATGATTGTCGGTGACACCTCCCTATTCCTAATGAGAGGTGGGGAGTGTCAATTAATTTAGTGCAATATTAATTATTTCTTTTGTTCCGAATTAATCATCTCGCATTTTGATTTCACCGAGTTTAAGAAAAGGCGTTAAAAACTTAAAAAAAAAAGTAATTTGACCATATGTTCTTTATTATGGAGTATATCGTAGAAGTAATGAAATGAGACATTTATTTTAGGATAAACTAAAAAAACAGTACAACTAATTTAAATAAATTGATAAAGTGTTTAAACAGGGTATAGTATGTTGTCAAACCATAGGACATAAAGGTAGCAATTATTAGTTGTACATTCATTTATTATCATTTTTTATTACAGACATTGACAGACACAAAACTCTTTTCGATGTATCGGAGAAGGATTAAGTTATTTGTACCCTAAAACTTATATCTTATTTTGTATTCTAAAAGCATGTACTGACATTTTATGCTATTGTGACGCTACTGTATGATTTACATTCACAAAAAATGTCAGCGTAAATTTTTTTAAGTAGACTAACATTTTGTGAGAGTGTGAACCATTAAAATATTGGTGCATTTCTTTGGGGTACTAACTTGAATATATTTTTTGATGTACTCCTAACATGGTTAAATGTGGTATTAAAAATGGTGAAGAAGAAAAAAGAGTAATGGAGACAAAATAAAATAAATAAAGAATTAAAAAATTTTGCACAGGCATTTTTTGCCAATGCAAATCATCACACTAAAACCAAATGTTGGTGTATGTCTTAGGGGTTCAAAATGGGATACAAAGTTTGGTGTACAAATAGCTTAATCCTATAGAAAAAATTTGGAGAAAAAAAAAAGATTAATGGAGACAAATTTAAAAAAAATAAGGAATAATTACCAAGTGGAGAGCAAGCAATTGAGCAGCGTCATGACATATGGGATCCCTGAGAACTCCTCTGTTGATCTCTTCTGTATTACCCTCTTGAAAGTTATCCTAATTATTTACTCAAGAAAAATAAATAATCATTACCAAATTAAATCAAATCAAGAAAATAATAAACCAGCCTCGGAATTAAATGTATCCAGAAATATAAATATATATAAAAAAAATATAATCTCTCACATTGGTGCCAAGAAAAGAAACAAGCCAGTAATGTTCCCTGTTATTGATCCAAGGATTAAAGATTATTATTTAATTTTATTTTTGTATAAATATATTTATACATCTGAAATAAAAAATAAAATGAAAATAACAAGAACGGAGTGTACCAAAAACACCAAAAGTAGTGTGAAGAGCTTTGACAATTGCCATGGCGGAAATATTATAGCCGGGATCAGATAATTTAGAGATATTAAAACTCTGCGATTTTGAAGTTATTTATATCATGAAAGCTAATACCTATATATATATATATATATATATATATATATATATATATATATATATATATATATATATATATATATATATATATATATATATATATATATATATATATATATATATATATATATATATATATATATATATATATATATATATATATATATATATATATATATACCCCTTGGTTCCTTTGACATTGAGAACCAATGTCATGGGATGACCTGGGGGCGCTCCGGTG